TTTTTTTCACTGTTTGTTTTTTTCACCGTTTGTTTTTTTCACAGTTTATTTATTTCACTGTTTGTTTATTTATTTCACTGTTTGTTTATTTATTTCACAGTTTATTTATTTCACTGTTTGTTTATTTATTTCACTGTTTGTTTTTTTCACCGTTTTTTTTTTTCACTGTTTGTTTTTTCCACTGTTAGTTTTTTTCACCGTTTGTTTTTTTTCACAGTTTATTTATTTCACTGTTTGTTTATTTATTTCACTGTTTGTTTTTTTCACCGTTTGTTTTTTTCACTGTTTGTTTTTTTCACTGTTTGTTTTTGTCACTGTTTGTTTATTTCACAGTCTCAAAACTTTCAGCTCCTTTAGGACATTCCTGCTGTGACTTTTGATATTTGCAGTTTTTACTTTTTGCAATATTTAGTTTTGTCGGCCATGTTTAATCTCATTGAAAATGGATGGAGCTCTCCTCACCTCCTTCAGATCCTTTCAGTTGTTTGCAACCTGCTCATTTCAGCTGATGTTCAGCTTCAGCTGGTGTTCAGCTCCTTTATGCAGATTTTTGTCTTTTTGTGCTTTTGTTCAGGGTCTGACTGCTGATTTCAGCATCTTTTGCCCCTTTCAAAGTTTTTCAGCTAAATTCAATTTTTGTCTGTAGTTTCAGCTACTACGTATGTATTTTTCCTAATTTTAGCCTTTTTTGCCTTTTTTGTGCTAATATCAGTTCTTTCTAATCATTTCAAATTTCTGCTAAATTCAGCTCGATTATTTTATTATTATTTTTTTTTTTAGCTTTTCAGATACTTTTTTGCTTCAGCTTTGTAATTTATTCAGCCTCTGTCTGTTTCAGCTTATTCTGCTACATTTCAGCTGTTTCTCTGCTGCTTTCAGCAAATGCCAGCTGTTCAATTTCAGCTCACATCATGAGTTTTGAAATGAAACCTCTTCAGCAGAAGTCCTTCAGCGGTCACGTTGACAGGAAGTGACATCACTCTGGTTGTTAATAGTTTGCTCTTTGCAGAGAAAGCCAGGTGGAGCTAAGGGAGCATCTGGACAATTTGGCCACGGGTAAATAATATTTTTCTGTCTGTTCAAACAATTTCATTTATCAAACAAATGAAGCAAACTTCTAAATGGATAAATCGGTGAAGAGGTTCCCACTCGGTCCTGATCCATGTTCCGTCTCCACAGAGTTGTGCAGGATTAACGAGAACCAGAAGGTGGCGCTGGACCTGGACCCTTACGTGAAGAAGCTGCTGAATGCCAGAAGAAGAGTGGTGCTCGTGAACAACATCCTGCAGAACGCTCAGGTCACTAACCAGCTGAAGGAATGCATGTCGCCCTTAACTTGTGTTAAAATCTGTCCGGTAGTTTGAGTTATTTTGCTAACAGACAGACGAGGTTAACTCCCAACAGTTAATGCTTTAGGTGAAGGTCGCACAATAAGAAGCACTTATGACTCTCAGCTACTACCACACCAAATCTTAGCTCCTTGTCTGAGGTACAGCCACTTTTGTGTTGCTTAAAGTCGGCTGGCTGTAGCGGCCATCTTGAATTGGTTAGTCAGTTATGAATGTACACCCAGTGATTACTTCCTGATGGCTTCATTGAAACCTACCCAGTGGTTCATGAGAGATTTTGCTAACATACAAACACACATAACAAAAGACTTGGAACAGCGGCGAGTCGTGTCAGCTGCAGACAGTAATCTGATTACTGCGTCCACAGGAACGCCTCCGACGACTCAATCACAACGTGGCCAAAGAGACGGCTCGGAGGAAGACCATGCTGGAAGCATCAGGAGTGTTCACCTCTCGCTCCCCCAGTAAACCCTGACCCCCCTTCACCTCGGAGGCCTGGACATGATAACCCTCGTCTTCCTCTAATATTTAATGTCCGCTTGTCGAATGTTTCCTCTGTGTCGTAATAAAAAACAACAACTTTAAGTTATTGTGTGAAGCTGCAGGTGAAGACTTTTAATCCCAGATGATCTGTTGGAGTGTTTGGATTAAATGCTCCTGTTTGATGCCAACAAAAGACAGATTGAGCACAAACACTTTAACTCCCAGGCGCATGCTTGATCTACTTTTCGTATTTGATATTTATGTGTCTGTGTCTAAATCTGGACTCGTTTAATTATTACTGTAACGTGCTTTATGTTGGGGTGAGTCACGTCTCCAGCTCGGCTCTAAACAGGAACCTGTGGGTTTGATCATATTTCTCCAGTTTTTTGTCCTCCCTTCACTGGCTCCCTGTACGTATAATAGAAATGGCCTTGAACCCTCATCTCTCTGAGCTACTTCAACCAGATGTTCCTTCTCAGGCACCAAGATCATCTGATCAGCTGGTTGGTTGTACCAAAATCTAGATTGAAGCTCAGGAGATCGGGCTTTTTCAGTTGTGTTCCCCAAACTCTGGAACAATCTGCCCCCCCCCCCAACATTAGACAGGACACTTCCTGTTTTTAAATCTGCTAAAGACACATCTGTTTTCGCTGACTTTTAACACGGCATGAATTGATTTAGTATTTGATTGCTTTGTGGGGTCTTTTTTTATGCTTTTAATTTTTTTTTTCTTTAAATTGGTGCCATTGTTTTTTTTTATTGTTTAAGACTTTGATAACTGCTGTTTTTAAATGTGCTTTATAAATAAATTTGACAACATTATATGAACTACTAAGAAGGTTCAAACCACAGTTTGTTGGGTTTTAGTTGAATAAGTATTGAAATTACATTTTTTTTTGGTCATCACCATTTTTGACTGTGTGGTGCGATGGTTTGAGCCCCTCGGATGGGTGTGAAGTGTCTCATCAGTGGATCCGTGCATGTCAAACCCTCCAGAAAGCTGCGCTTCACAGGAGAGGCCTCTGAATTAATTTTTTTTTTTTTAAACTAAGAGTTTGAAAGCAGTGTTTAAAAGACTAAATGTAGTGAAGGATGTAACTAAAACTGGACATTTATGGAATCTTATTTCAGTAAATAATAATCTCTCATAGAATAAACATTAAAATAGTACAAGTTTAGAAGCTTCTATTCATATTTGGCCTAAAATGACTGAAGGAACGGGTGCAGTACACAGTGCTCGCCTCTAGAGGGCAGTGCATGACGTCACTGACGTTTGCTACCGGAAGTTGATGCGACTGTACAGGAAGTCGACGGGCAGAACTTAATACAACATTTACAGATGACCGCAGTGGAGTTGGTTATTTATGTGATAAAACGTAAAGCAGCTACAGAGCTAGCGTTCAGCTAGCAGCTGAAGTAGAAGCTAAAACAGAGCTAGTTCAGTCGGTGTCAGAATGGACTCCTGGGTTCGGTTCAGCGCTCAGAGTCAAGCCAAGGAACGAGGATTCAGGTAAAATCAACACGTTTACTTTTGACTTACAAACAGATTAATCAGTTTTTATTTGATTTGTTGGTTTCATTCTTCAGACTGAGGCGGAAAACAAAATAATACAGGCCAGTGCTCACCTGAGATAATACTGAGTGATAGCATTGATTACTTCCAAGATGCAGTCCAGGTACCTTCAGGGGGAAGACCTGGTTCATGCCATGTGTGTACCTGGTATCTATGTATACGTATGGACCAGCTAGTACAAGGTACTTGCCTAGTGTGTACTGGTACCTATAAGAACCAGGCTGTATTATGAAGTAACTTGTTACCTTGTAAGTACCTGGTATGCACTTTGTGGGTATTTGACAAATACCAGGGAGGTACCTGTTTGGATGTAGTGTCATGCAAAGTGTCTAAAGTTTTCCCACTTTGTTTCTTGTCAGGTTTGTGTGAAGTCCGGTGAAGTTAGCTTCAGGTTGGATGTTCGCGCTCCGCAGATTCAGCGGTGTCTTCCTCTGGCCATCTGATCCCGGGCAGCTACCCTCTGCATGCTCCCTCCTCCGACCCGCTTTCCTCAATGCTTTTCTGAACACAACGCACAACAATGCAGTCTGTTTATTTTTCTTAGCACGATAATGCAACAGAGCCGGTCAGAGTTACATGTGGACACGCATTACAGAAGACATCCACACACATATAAACATGTCCAAACAACAGATTTAAAAAATGCTGACGCAGTTCTCAATACAAATACCACCTGTTATGTTGCAACAACTCCAGTGCTTCTGTTGTACTAACACACAATCCATTAAGAAGTTCAGGATCAGTAATACTCCAGGTACACAAAAACACATGTAGTCTGGCTACACTAACTCTTATGAAGATATACATTTAAATGATCTTTAATAGTTACAGATTCAGAGCACTTTTAACAGCACACATACATGATGCATGACATGATTAAAACAAAAAGTTCTCGGCTTACTTTGACCAGGACACCACAGATGTTTCCGTCCTGTTGAACACGGGGGCTCCTCGCTCCCCCTTTCCATTTATCATCACTGAGCATGTTTTCCCTCAACATCTCCTCATCGTGAAGTATTCCCTATAGAATGCTGAAATGGTTTAATTAATAAGACAACTCCATTGACAACTGAGGCCCCTTTCCGATTAAACTAGTAGTTTTCATTCATTCAACCTTTATCTATACAGGTTAATCCCACTGAGCCTCAAGGAGTCGTTCTGATTTTAACAAAGAGTGATGACAACAGTGGACAATCGTAAAGGAAGCATTGAGAAGAACAAGTGGAAGAAATTGGTATTAAAAAGTGAAGGAAGAACCCCCAGCTAGGTTGTAACATAAGGCGATGTAGAAAACTAAAAACAGGAACATGTCTGCATTGGTTTTTGCCATGAACTTATCCAGTTAATCAAACTGAAAGCCACCTCATTGTTTGTAAACAGGAATAAAACTAGTGTAATTAATTTAAGCTGTATTTGAAACATTTATTCAGTGTTGATTTGTTCTTTTTGAAGCATAACTGGAGTCTTCAAGCTCGTGATTTGTTAAAGGAAATGAACCACAACAGAACAAATTTTATTTTTACTGTTCTTTTTTTTTTCATTCAACCTTTATTTATACATGTTAGTTCCCGTTGAACCTCAAGGACCATTTACAAGCGAGACCTGTTACATACAACTTACAGAGTAGATGAGGAAAAGAGAACATGAGTCAGAGTCTTTATTGTCGTTCCACCACATGTGGTGGGACAAATTTCTGTACACAAGGTCCCAGTTACATCCAACAATAAAATGTAAAAGAAAAACAGTAATAACATCTAAGATATGAACTAAGAAAAACATCAACTAAATATACACTAAGCACTAATAGCATAAAAACATTGAACATCAGCACAAACATGAACATGAGTCTGTGTGAGCAGACGAGCACGAATGAACAAATCAACATGAAACAGATCAGCAGCAACATGAATCAGATCAGCAGCAACATGAATCAGATCAGCAGCAACATGAAACAGATCAGCAGCAACATGAAACAGATCAGCAGCAACATTGAAACAGATCAGCAGCAACATGAAACAGATCAGCAGCAACATGAAACAGATCAGCAGCAACATGATATGGTTTTTCACAGTGATTATTCTGGTTAGAGATTCATGAGTCTAACAGCCTCAGGGTAGAAGCTGTTCCTCAGTCTAATGGTTCTACACTTAATGCTCCTCAACCTCCTTCCTGAGGGGAGCAGGACAAAAAGTGTGTGTGCTGGGTGAGTGGGGTCCTTCATGATGCAGGTGGCCCTCTTCCTGCATCTGGAGGTGTAGATGTCTGTGATGGTGGGGAGACTGACTCCACCAGATTTCTGTGCAGCCTTCACCACTCTCTGCAAAGCTTTTCTTTCTGCAGCTGTGCAGCCTCCATGCCACACGTTGATGCTGGAGCACAGGATGCTCTCCACTGCACACCTGCAGAAGGAGGTGAGGACTGAGCTTCCCAGACCAGCTCGCCTCAGCCGTCTGAGGAAGTAGAGTCTCTGATGAGCTTTCTTGATCAGGCTGGTGGTGTTGTTGCTCCAGCTGAGGTTGTCATTCAGGTGTACACCCAAGTACTTGTAGCTGGAGACCACTTCCACCGCAGAACGTCATGTTGGGGGGAAGTAGATGTGTTTGTTTCTTCCTTTCTTCAGATGAGGGTGGAGGAAGTAAAAATACCACATCTCACACCATGTCCTGTCTGGGGCACAGTGTAAAAGATGCAAAAAAAGACCTTCCAACTAGGCCTGTCGTGATAACAAATTTTGCTGGGCAATTAATTGCCTCAGAAATTATTGCAATAAACGATAATATTGTTTGAAATTTGACAATAATTAGTAATTATTGTCAAATTTCAGAAGAAATGTTAGTTAATTTGTTTTGCGTGTAGTACCTTTTTTGACTGCCGGATGGTCGTATAAGACTGTTTGAAATGAAGGATGGACAGTGAGGGAGCAAGCAGTGTGTCTCTTTAAGAAAAATGGGAGGGAGGCCCCTTGACGTGACATGAGCTGTCTCTCTTCAGTTCTCAGAATGGCAGACGCTCAGTGTGGTTTGAGCTCTTTAGCATAGCATTTTTCACACAAAGCTTTTAATAAAAACAATCAGTAAACAAGTTCTCAGCTTCTTTTTGCAGAGAAAAAACTTTACACGAAGGCACGGGTTTCATCTGTGAATTTTGGAGCTTCGACAAGACGGAGGTTTTTTCCCGAGGTTGGGCTGTTAGCTTAGCTTCTCAGATTAGCCTCTTTTAAAGAAAATAGAAAGTGAGGGGTCAGTGAAGTGGAGTTCATCCTCTTATCATCCAGTGTCTTCAGTAGAAAGAGAGAGACATGAAGAAACGATAAAGCTGATAAATGAAAATGATGTTGATAATTTTCATTTATCGTGATTAATTGATTTATTGTTCATCATGACAGGCCTACTCTCAACATAAACAGCAACATACAATGACATCATAATACATTCATGCATGAGAAGGTCAACAAAGGTGGTGAGTTGTCCGTGGACACTGCCAGGAAAGGGGTGACCTGCTTTAAAACGCAGAGAATAAAATAGAAATTAATCAAATAATTTCTCAGCAGGAAAACCACCAACCAGCAGCTTCCAGTGGTTGAGCAAGGCCCTTAACCCCCCCCCCCCCCCATCTGCCCCCCTAGCTGGCAGCTCTCCGCTCCACACAGAGGGCTGTGGTAGCTCAGTGGTCTGTGGTTGTGTCAGGAAGGACATCCGACATAAGAACAATTGTCTTCGTGTGAGATAGTTCACTGTGGTAACCCCTGAAGAAGGGAGCAGCTGAAAGAAGGAAAAATGTCTGAGCCTCACGCCCTTTGCTCACATGGGTGATTTGTTCGTGGTGTGATTTTGCAGATGAGTAAACTGTCAGATCGAGACGCGTTTTCATAATTGTCCACTGACAAATCGTTTGTTAAGCTGCAGATTTATTGACCTCCAGTCGTGTTTGACTCCATGAAGCCGATGAGAGTTCTTCTCGTTCTTCTGTCATCTGCACAACGTTCAAACATTCATCAGTTTGGTAAAGTGACGAGAGGGAGCTCTGCTCGGTCTCCAAACACAACCATGCGTCGTCCGGCCAGTGTAGTAGTAGAGCGACATCAGTTTTGTGCCGCTGGATCATGACATGACAACTATTAATTTTTGCTTCTCAAGAGTGTTTGGTTCAGTAATTTGACGGTTCCTAAGCGAACCGCTTCAGGTTGGAGGAGGAGGCAGGCTGAAGGTCTGAAGTCAGACTGCCTGCATCGGGTCGAACGAGAGGAAGACTCCGCTGAACATCCAACCTAAAACTAACTTCACTTCAGTAAATCTTACTCTGTTTCTGAAGTATTTTCTGCTTTATGGAGTAAAACAAAATATATCTGATAACGGTGCTCTTCATCGAACAGTTTACATTCTGTGTTTCTTCAGCTGTTTCTTTGTGTGTGTACGATCCAATATTTGTGTTTTGCTCTTGCCCGGCTGAAACGGCTCTCTAACGGTCGGGTGTTTGTCCTCAGAGCGGCTCAGTACGCCTGCATGTTGGTCGGCTCCGCTCTGCACAGGACCTCGGCAGCGCCGGAGCTCCGCTCGAAAATCAACAGCCTGGAGGCTCACATGAGCCTCACGAGAAAGTGTAGGTGAAGCAGGTGTGTGTGTTTCTGAGACTTGATGTTTGGTGTGACTCGTGTGTGTGTGTTCTGATCCGCAGTGCTGCGTCTGGGGAACTCTGTGGAAGCGCTGCAGGCTGCCAAACGGACCATCCACCTGTCTGATGGCGTGCTGAGGCTCTGCCTGACCGTCAGCCACCTGAACAGAGCCATGTACTTCGCCTGCGACAACGTGCTGTGGGCAGGAAAAACAGGCCTCGTGGCCCAACTGGACCAGCACAAATGGAGTCAGAGGTCCTTCAGGCAGGTGGCTGGTAGAACAATCGGTGTTCTTTGTTGTGCTTCTGAACCAAACGGAGACTGACTGAACTTCACCGTCTGCAGTTCCAGCCTGGTCCTCTGGTCCAGTTTGGTGTCTGCAGGACAGAGCTGAGGACGAGCTCCTCCAAACTTTTTAAACCTTATCGTCTTAAATCACACTTTAAACACAAAAACACAGACAGCCCTAATTAAAATTATGTCTTTATATTTCATCACAGTAGTCCCTCACTACTTTGCGGTTCGTTTATCTCAGACTCGCTCTATTGCGGTTTTTCAAAATAAGATTGGACATGACACACAACTGGCTGATTGATGGATGAGCCGCATGATCGGTATGGCATTTTTATTTAAAATGAATTATTTTAAAATTATTTAGCACCTGTGTGCAGCCCAGAGCTGTAGAAAGCTTCCTCCTGCAGCTTGGTGCGGCCCATACTGCTGCAGCTGATCAGCTGTTCTCCGTGCAGAGTGGAGAAGTGGGCGTGGCCAACAGCGCTTACAGGTGGCAAAGAGTAGAGGAAGCAGGGAGCTGAGATCATGACATGCTGTGTCTTTTAGAGCCTTTAGAGTTTACAAACATTGTTTAGAATATTGCAAGAGTGTGGGAAGGGTTTATAACACCTTTATATATATATATACATGTGTATATATATATATGAAATTTTTGCTCACCGTGACCACTGGATGCTGCGTTTGTGTTATTGTGGTAAACAACCACAATATGTTGTGTAAAAAGGTGAAATTCAAAATATTTGTCAGTAAAAAGGTAAATAAAATACTGTTTTTATGAGCTGCTCTAACCCTCGTCCAGAAGCAGCTCTGACCTGTAAAAAGTTAAAAATGGTGTTTTGCGACACGGATGGTGGGAGAAAACATTTTTGTTTGTTGGTAAACACTTGTTTGTTTGTAAAAAGATCTAGAATCTGCCCCTGGATCAGGACCGTTCTGTCTCTGCTTCCTCTCTGCAGGTACTACCTGTTTGCTCTGATCCTCAGCCTGACCCGAGACCTGTACGAGCTCCGCCTCCTCCTCGACTCTGAGACCCGCTCCAGAGGCACCAAGTCCCCCCCGCCTCCCTCCGACAGCAGCGCTCTCCTCACCGACCCCCTCTCCACGTCCTCCTCTCCCTCTGCCGGAGCTCCGCCTCTTCCTCTTGCCCGTCTCCACAGGCGCCTCCATCAGGTTCTGACGGTTCTGTACAGAAACCCGCCGCTGCTGCTGGACCTGCTGAAGAACAGCTGTGATCTCTTCATCCCACTCGACAGGCTGGGGATCTACCCGACCGGGCCGGGTTTTGTCGGGACCTGCGGCCTGGTCTCCTCTGTCCTCTCCATCCTCACCATCGTCCAGCCGTGGCTCAAACTCAAACCATGAACCCAGTTTGGCCCGTTCAGAACAGAACTGTACCGACGTCATGTGATCAACTCCTCTGGAGGCTCGAGTTCTAACAGACGTTTTATGATCTTTCTTTTTGCCCAACAAAAGAAATGTTCTTTCCTGAATGTTAACGTTTTTAACAGCCGTCTATCCACACGTAGAGAACGTAAAACCTGGAAGTTTTCAGTTTTCCATCAGAGCCGGAGCAACGCTTGTGAACTTCAGCTCCACCATTCAGAGGTTTTATTAAGAAATTAAAACTACTAACACTGTTTTAGTGTAAGCTTTGGTTTAAAGGAAGTTCCAGTGTCCTTTTGTCCCCCGTCCTCTGTCCACGTCACCATCTCAGACTAGGAGGACGTGCGCGGGTTTTAAGATTGAGGACCTTGAAACTGGTCCGGTCTCGTCAGGTTCTAGTGAATCAAATTTAACCTCAAGTGAACAAAAACAGATTCCACAGAGTCGTTATTTATCAAACCAAATGTTGCAGCTGTGTAAAGACCCCGACCCAGCAGCTTGTAGAACCTCCTCCAGAACCAGAACCTCAGTAGTTCTCTGTAGGACGTCATCTCTCTCATGGTTGTGGAGGAGTTCTGGACCACTCTTCTTTCCATCATTGAGGTTTCTCCTCAGCTCTCTCTATATTTCTATCAGGTTGAAGTTCTGGACTCTGACTGGACCACTGCAGCACCTTGGTTCTGTTCTTTCTGACCCGTTCTGTTGTAGATCAGCTGCTGTGTTTGGGCTCATGGTTCTGTTGGACCCAGTTTGGTCCAAGCTTCAGCTTTTGGACAGATGGACTCACATCTGACTCCAGAACCTTTTGGTCTACAGAGGAGTTCTGGTCCACTCAGTGACTGACAGGAGCCCAAACCATCAGCCTCCACCACCATGCTGACAGCTGAGGAGCTGCTTGCTGCAGTGCATTCTGGGTAAACATCTGTCCTTTGGTCTGGTTCTGGTTCAAAGTCTTGTGGTTCCTTCAGATGAAACTTTACGCCTGAGTCGAGCGGCCATCTTGTTTTTAGACAGAAGAGGTTTCTCCTGCAGCCCTTCAAACAAACCAGACCTGTCTGTTTCTGTCCTGACCTTTGACCTGCTGACTGACTGTAGAGTGAGATGGAGCTCATTTCTCTAAACACTGCATGGTCTGACCTTGGGGTGAATCTGTTGTGAAGATTGTCTGAAATGTTTCCCACTTCTCTGCAGAGCGATGGACTCCAGATCGTTTTAATGACCTTTGACCCTTCTCAGATTGATGGCAGGTGCTTGTCTAAGCTCATTGCTGATGTTTTTACACCCTGGTGTTTGTAACCTGCTCAAGTCCAGATAATTTTTAATATCCTGATTTGTAAAACTCGAACTTGAACGAGGGCAACTTCCTTTTTCTCCTGACTATGATTTGTGTGAAAGGTATCAGCAGGTTCTGGTGTTCCAGAAAGTTTCCATCCATTTGTGACCCAGTTGGTGCCCTCAGTCCTGAGGTGGAGACGAGTTGTGGCTTCACTGCACCAGCGGAGTGTTAAAGGTACCAAGACGTCTTCTCACTTCAGCCTCTGAGTTTGTGATTGGACACAGGAAGCTGTTGGGTCTCCAGTGAAACCATAAGTCAACAGTTACATCATCACCTCTAGTTTCTTCTAGTACCAGACTGAAAGTTAAGGAGCCCATGGACCAGGAGGTGCAGCCTTCAGCCAAATGTTTTCAGAATAAAGTTGTGTTTTTGATGAACCTTGCAGTTTAAACAGACGCTGACCAACTCGTTCATCAGCACCAGAGACGATCGTTAAAATTTAATCTGTTCAAATCTGATTTTAAATACTTTGCATTCATGGAAGGAATGCTTATCACCCACAAACTGTTCATGCTTTACCCTCTGTTGAGAAGTCTCGACAAACGTTCAGCTCCACCTCGCTCAACATCTGTAAACTTTAGAACGACGTGCGTGTGCAAGTCAGCTGGCTGTGGCAGCCATCTTAAGTCAGGCTGCTGTAACGTAATGATTTATTTTCTGCAGCATCAACATCTGTTCACACATTCATGCTGGGTTCTGGTCACAAACCTGCAGAAACATGAGCATGAACATTATTTAGCTTTGCCTATGAGCAGAGAGCTATAATGAACTGATCATCTAAATAAAGCTGATCCATAAAAACTCAAGAGCCACGACTGAAAACAGAACACTTTTATTCCACTTTTACAAAAAGGAAGAAGAAGAAAAACAAGGTCAGGTGAAAACATCACAAAAACAAGACTAATGAAAACTTTAAAGAGACTGGTCTTCCAGGTGAGCTCTTCTGTTGGTTCCTCCAGGACGACGGACTTCAGACAGGTAACAGATCCACTGTGGACACAACGACACCACCAGTTATGAAGACGACACTTGATGGTTTCAGAACAACGTGGACGTGCAGAAACTTTCAGGCTGATTCATATCAAACCACTGATGATTCAGATCTGCTCAAGCTCAGTAAGATCGTCTCCTTTGGGAGGGTCTCTCTTGCTGTCGAGAGTTTTGGGAGGGGGCGGGGCTTAAGGCAGCACCCGCTGAGGACAGTTAATGATTAGTTCCTTCACGTGCAGCCTCCAAACATCAGAAAAAGCAGCTAGATTTGTTGATTTAAAATGCTCAAATATGCTGGAGGGGTCTGAAAACTCACTTAAGTGGCCAAGTTGGCAACACAGGACTTTACAAGCACAGATGTGGTTGATCCACGGGCCAATCAACAGCTGCAGTTTGCTGACGTCGCATAGTTCAGCTCGCTTAGAACCACGGCTGAGGTGGGTCCAAAAAGCGAGCAGGAACAAGGACTAGAGACACGACTGACCGACGCTGAGCAGAGAAGCAGCTTTAGAGCTACTTGGCTTTATTAACTAGACCAGGAGTTACCTGAGAGCTGTTCACCTTTTCATTTTAAATAAAGTTTTCACGTTAGAAGACACTTAAAGGGCTCTCTGACTAACTGCACATCTTGGCCTTAACGTGTTATTTCTCTTCTACTAAAAATTGATTGGGACACGTGAAAACTGCTTAATTAATTAAGACGTTTATTACATTTTTCACCTGAGGACGTCACCACTGTTTTACTGGCGCAATGCATTCTGGGACGATGACGTACATCAATTGTAGTGGAGACTAACACACAAGGAGTCAACGTGTGACAGTCAAGTTATATTTTGTATTAGTCCTTATGAACAATATATGGGTCGAAAAGGTCAAACTTGTGATGTTTAATTTATTAACTCTGGAGCTTTAGTTTGGTAACAAACTCACAGAATCTGATTTATGATGGTCCAGTCAACAAACTGCACCAACTCATTAAAATCTGGCCCAAATGTTCCAGTACATCTTTTTTTTTTCCTTATGGGGTCGTTCTTACATAGAATAGTTTGTTTTGTTAAAGAATTCAAATTCATGTAAAAGTGGTGCTAAAATGTGATTTGAGTTTAAAGGGAGGAGACGTCTCACCTCTTTACTCCTGGGTCTCCATGCTCTCGTCCTCTTCGTCTGCTCCCTCCTCCAGAGCTTCGTCCTCCTCCTCCTTCCTCTCCAGAGGTTTCTTATAGACCTTCTCTGAGGGAGTGACGAGCACGCCGTCCCACGTGGACATCTCTGTCATCAGATCTGTAGAAAAGATTCAGTTCAAATCTCAGAGCTCTGAACAGAAACATGCATATATAAAAATAATTAACATTTATCTGAGGAGCTTTGAGTTTAACTCCATCACAGAACTCTCATTTACTCTTCAGCTGCCTCTAAATTCACTCACTGAGTCAGCGGTGGTGGCCACTTTTAATTAAATCATCTGTTGTTTGTCAACAATTAGTTTCTGAAAGTTTAATGAACTCTGGACATTCGACGTTCTGTTGAGAGAACAGTGAAACAAACAGTGTCCTGTTGGAGCAGATGATGCAACATTCTTTCACCAGTGAGACTTTGAAGAACTTGCTCTGTGTAGATGGAGTGTGGACAGACTCCAAACTTCAAACTCTGCTCCCTGACTCATGTCAAGGCTGATAATGAATTACTGAAAAATGACCAGATTATCCCTTTAAAAAGAAAAACAAAAGGAAACTTACAGCTGGCATCTCCTTCCAGGCCCAGGATCTTTCTGTAACCTCCATGGGAGAGCACCCTCACCAGTGTCTGCGCTGTGAAACACACCATGTCCTGCACACACACGCACGCACACTTTGAGACTCAAACAAATCATTTATTTTGAAGAGTTCAGCACCAACTCATTGAACGCCTGTCGACAAACTGTTACATGGAGATGTATAGCAATGATCCGGACAAGCAAAGAACTTTTCTGAACTTCGACCTTGATGTGTGACCTTGACCTTAAGACTGGGGGGATGAGAAGTGTGTGTGGCACTCTGTCTAGTGACGGTGCATGAAGTTTCATTAAATTATCTTGAGCGGATCAGACGTGATGGGCGGGACAAAAGGTTTATGTACAGACTGGACCGAGTCCTTTCCAGGCACGAATAATTAAAACGTCCTAAAAACCACTAAAGTCAGCCAACGTTACAGTTTACTGAAGCTCCACGTATGAGGAGATACCTGCTGCTCCAGAGTCATGACTGTGTGAACTCGGTAGTTTCCACTCTCACAGGGGTCGGTGATGCCCACAGAGCCGGGCAGGAAGAGGCCGGCAGCCAGCATCTGAAGGCAGCGCCTGCAGGGGTCCAGGTCCAAGAGCAAAGGTCAGAGTCAGCTTCTCCAGAACACAACAGAAACCAGGCGGAGGAGGAAGAACAAACCTGTAGGCCACATTCAGGGACAGGGGCTGCCTGGACGGGTTGTTCATCACGGCAGAGTGACCCTGAAACACGATCAACATCACTGATTTACTGACTTCCTGCTGAAACAAACTCTGAAAAACACCGGACTTCAGAAGAGGCAGAAAGTATCGGCTAGAAAATCTGAATTTGAGTTCAGAGTGCTGGAAATATTTGTGAAATACTAATACTACAAGAATACTAATACACAAGAATCTGACAAACATGTTGGCACAATATTATCGTCAGAGAAATCTATCAAACTTTAAATAACCACAATCAAATGTATGTTAGGCCCTAAACATACATCCATCCCTCTTTTACTTCTTCCTTTCCAGGTCGCGAGGTCACTGGTGTCCATATCCAGCAATCACTGTGTGAGAGGTGGGGGACATCTGGACAGGTCTCC